TAAAGGAGTCCAGTGTAGAAGAACCACTTTGACCTTTATAAAAACCGTTATTTGTATAGTAGCCTCTTCTACTTTCTTCAATAAGTTTTCCGTTTTTGTTGGTGTGAAATTCGGTACAAGTGATCGTCGGGGAGAGTTTAAATAAGCATGTTTATTTAAATATCTCAATAGTTAAAGCATTTAATATTGATATAATAAAAATATAAAAATAATATATATATAAATACTGATTTATATATCAGTATTTACTAATGCTGATTTATATATTAGTATTTATTAATGCTAATTTATATATCGGCATTTATAAATAATACTTTCTATATAAAGGAATTACTGTTATGTATGTTTTTGGAAATATATTTTCAATAGTATATGTACTTGCTATAAACTGCAATAGATTTAATATATAAAAATTATATAGTCTCTGCTTAACTCATAAAATTCTTAGTTTCACAACTCTATATTACAACTAAGATTATTATTATTAATTTTCATATAGAACTGTGTTTTATAATCATCAGTAGGTTAATACTTTTTTACAAAAGCAAGTTTATATGTTTGATTGCTAGAAGAAAGATAAATAGTATAATCAAAATAGAATTGAACTTGACCAGAATATGAATCTATTGTTTTATCTTCTAAAGCAACAAATCTTGCCAGAATTTTTAAAAATTTAGTATAATAAGCTGAGAATGTAAATCCAAAAATTTCCGACTTCAACTTTAATCATCTATATTGATTAATAATAGGAGATACAGATATCTGACTAATTGTATATATATCTTTAGATTTAACAAATTGATAATCTATTACAGTGTTATTATAATATTTAACTAAAAGATCTAATATATTAAGTGATAACATAGCATTTCTATTTTTGGATCAAGAAATGTACCAGGAAATAGTTCATCATCAAAAGCTTCTTTCTTATTAATAAGGTTTCTTAATTTATAAAATTAAAAAAGATTTTGTAATTTAAATTCATCTGAAATATCTATACTATTACTTGATTTCTTTTCTTTAATATTTTTAAAGAATCAGATAATCTATTATCATTTTTTGCATATAATACAATTTAGTCTAAACAGTTATTTGCAAGAATAATTCTCATAAGTTCTGGTTCTATATTTCTATAACTACTTTTATATGAGTCTACAAAATATAATTATAAATATTATTATAAAAAATGATGCTGCATATAAATTATAGTTATAATATTCCTAATATTTATCTAATATTTCATTTATGTGCTCAAAAAAAAAACATCAAAATAAATATAATGAATTATAATCCATACAATTTTCACATATATGTAAACTTAAATAGATATTAAGAGTAATTTTTTTAAGACTATAATGGCATTTTATTAGTTTTGCTACATTTAATAATCTTTAATATGCTTCATTAAATGTCTTCTTGTCTAATATTCTGCAAACTAACAGATTACATGCTTTGACAAAGTTTGCAAGAATATGCTAGTCTAGTTCTGTTAATAAATCTCAAGTAATTGTAGTAGCATATATCATTATAAATATTTGCTACTGGTCTGTAGTATATTTAGAAAATTCTTCTATAACAATTTTATAAGAAATTCTTCTGACATCTGATAAAAGCTGTAATTTTTTTGCCTTTTTATTTATAATTTTAGACTATTAAGACTTAATTTTCGACCTTCTTCCATAGCTGCATAACAATTCATTTTGCAATTCTCAAAAATAAACAATGCATTGGGTCTATAGTTACATATCTAATTGAATTAAAATAGGAAAGATGATAAAGCTTTAACCATCTAACAAAGTGTTTGAATAGGTGTTTTTTTCTTTGATTCTTAGTCTTGCACTATAACTATGCATATGCATTAATTTTAATTTTATCAACATCATGCTCTACAAATCAGTTATTCATATCTACAAATTTACCAAAATTAGGTTGATGTCTAGCATCAAACTGCATATGTTTTTTTTTTTTTTTTAAATATTAATAGTGAGACCATGCCTTTAACTTTATTGAAGTGTATGTTTTTTATATTAAAAGTATGCAATTCTTGCTAATATTTGTTTATATAACTTTCTAGATGCCAGAATATTATATAAGTAGCATATAACAGTACATTTAATTTTTTTTGTATCCATAGGTAATTCATTTGTAGTAATTTTTATTCCATTCCACAATTCAAGTAATTGATCAACTAAAGATGCAAGATAATAATTAATGTGATGTAATTTAACTTCTTTTAATTCTGGTAATAATGCAAGGATAATTATATTTTAAGGCTTGAATTTGAGTTTATGGGCCAAATTGCAAATAACTGTATATATTGCTCTAGTAGAATATATAGAATTTTGAAAAGGACTAAACCAGTCTAAATTAATCATAAGGCCTAAATGTGTATCAGCATGCTCAGCTGTAAAGAAATTTGTATCTTGATCTTTAAATGTCTTCCATATATTACCTTCATAAATATCAGCAAGATAATTATTATTTATTTTTCTATTAATCCATTTTCTGCATAATGCTTCAAATCCTCTTTGGCTATATAATAACTGAAATTGATTTTTAATATTTATTATTGGGTAAGAAAGCAAAGAACAATACAATATTCCATCTTTTGTAGGTACTTCCTTTGCCAATGGTTGATTACAAGATTGTCTCATTTTAAACATTAAGTGATTAGGATATTCTACAAAGGTACAATAAAGACATATTGGGATTTGTCCAGGTTTTTTTGTTATTACTTCATTATAGTTATATAATTTATTACATGCTAGACACGTTGTATAATTATTTATATATAGACCTAATCCCAGTAACTTTAGGTTCAAATAGAGTAATTTAGAAAAGTTTGTAAACTGATCTTGATCAAGATAAGTCAATAGATAATAAATAAATTTAAGTAAAAAATCTGTTGCAATGTCTGGTAACTGATATCTTTGTTGGTATTTCAAGATCTAAATTAATATCCAACTAAATCTTTCATCATAATTTCCAATATTCTCGAATATTTCTTCTTCACTACTTTCAATATCAGGAGTTGAATAGTCTAACATGATATCCTAATTATCACTTTTAGATTCTATTTCTATAACTTCATCATAATCTGAGGTAGTTAAATTCTCTTCAACTAAATCAATATATGGTTTTCTTTAATTATAGCTTTTTTTTTCTTTTATCTTTTGTAACTACTAGAAATAATTCTTTTTGAAGACTAACATCTATTGAACTAGAAGTAGAAATACTAATTAATATGCTACTGCCTTCTATTTGAGGATTAGTGAGAAAAGAAATATCAGGTTGAGGTTTAACAGAACTTACAAATCCTTACAAATTCCATATCTTTCAATATGAGTATCTCTTGTTCAGGAATTACAGAGTTCACTTTTATCTTTGCATACTTTACATATACAAATACTCTTTTTTCATGTTTTTGATACAGGTAACTTAACAAACATTTGATGACTCATTTTTAAAGTGTTTTAGAAGTTACAGTATTTGATATAATGAGGTAAGGCAGACAAAAGGTCTTTAAATACAAAATTATGTGTATA